CATGTAGGCACCCTGTGTCTATTGTGCATCTGTATGCCAGACTCCTGGAAGGAAAGCAGGTGTTAAGCATAAACCATATTATTCGTATAAATAGTTTAGGCACAACGAGCCACCCTTGTCATTTATAGAATGCCAGGAACACTCCTGAAACCATGTCCCCGGATACCAGCCAAGGGCCAACCTTATAATTAAGTCTTTTAAAAGATAGTAGTCAGGACTGCTATGTTAAATCTCTTCTGTGCATATGGATATACCATATTTTGTTTATCCATTCATCGGTTGATAGACATTTGGGTTGTTTTGACTTTTTGACTGTTATGAATAATTCTATGAACATTCATGTACTTATTTTTATGTGAACATATGTTTTCATTTCTCTTGTGTTATATACCTAGAAGTGAAATTGCTGGGTCATATGGTAAACTTTTGAGGAAATGCCAGACTCTTTTCCAAAGAGGCTACACCATTTTACATTCCTACCAGCATGTATGAAGATTCCAATTTTTCTACATTCTTGACAAAAATGTAGAAAACAAAAACACTTGTTATTATCTGTCATTTTGATTATAGTCACCATAGTGGGTGTGAAGTGGTATCTCATTGTGGTATTGATGTGTATTTCTCTAGTGGCTATTGATGCTGAATATCTTTTTGTGTGCATATTGGCTATTATATATCTTCTTTGGTAAACTATAGAGTTTCTTTGCCCATTTTAAGTTGGATCATTTGTCTTTATATTATTGAGATGTGTTGTTTATATTTTTAAATTCTTTATATATTTGATATTCTGTACATAGTCTCTATATATGAATTTTATTCTGGGGCACCTAGGTGGCTCAGTGGGTTAAGTGTCTGCCTTTGGTTCAGGCCGTGATCCCAGGGTCCTGGGATTGAGCCCTGCATTGGGCTTCCTGCTCCATGGGGAGTCTGCTTCTCTACCCCTGCCGCCGCTCATGTTCTCTCTCATGCGCACACATGCACGTGCTCCCTCTTGTCTCTCAAATAAATAAAATATTTTTCAAAAAAACTTTATTCTATAGGAAAGGATTTTAAAATTCTTTATATGTTCTAGATACGAGTCTCTTATCGGGTATGTGATTTGCACACACTTTCTTCCATTCTGTGAATTGTCTTTTAACTTTCTTCATAATGTCTTTGAAAGTACAAAAGTTTATAATTTCTGTGATTTTCACTTTATTTCTTTTTTGTTGTTGTTACTTGTACTTTCGGTGTTATGTGTAAAAAACCATTGCCTAATCCAAGGTCATGAAGACTTATACCCATGTATACTTTTTTAGTTCTTACATTTAGATCTTTCACCTATTCTGAATTAATTTTTGTATATATTGTGAGGCTAGTATCCAGCTTTGTTCTTTCGTATTTGGATATCCACTTATCTCAGCACCATCTTTTAAAGAGATTATTCTTTTCCTGTTGGATTGTCTGGACACCTCTAAAGGAAAAACACTTTACTGTGTGTCTCCTGTACTTTTTTTTTTATTATTATGTTATGTTAATCACCATACATTACATCATTAGTTTTTGATGTAGTGTTCCATGATTCATTGTTTGTGTATAACACCCAGTGCTCCATGCAGTACGTGCCCTCTTTAATACCCATCACCAGGCTAACCCATCCCCCCACCCCCCTCCCCTCTAGAACCCTCACTTTGTTTCTCAGAGTCCATAGTCTCTCATGGTTCATCTCCCCCTTCGATTTTCCCCCCTTCATTTTTCCCTTCCTACTATCTTCTTTTTTTTCTTTTTTTTTTTTTTAACATATAACGTATTATTTGTTTCAGAGGTACAGGTCTGTGATTCATCAGTCTTACACAATTCACAGCGCTCACCATAGTACATACCCTCCCCAATGTCTCCTTTACTTTTAATACTGTACTCATAGAATAATTCACTTCTGACCCTTCTGATCACCAAATGTGTGGGAGTTTTCCCCCACACCAAACAATTCTGAGATTCTCCAGATACCAGCTGGGGGTCCTACCCATTTAATTCAATTCTGACACTACCTGGAGATATTATTAGATCCCACAGGTTAAGGGTTCAGTCCCATAAGACTGTCCCAAACCCTTTTCAGATGCAGTTGCAAGTCTGGGTTGTTTCCTGTGCTTCTGACCAACCAGCTGTGAATTGAAGGGTCCCATGACTCCTTTCTCAGGTTCAATTAATTTGCTAGGACACAAAACTCACAGAACTCAGGAAACGATTTTACTTACTAGATTGCCAATTTACTATAAAAGGATGTAACTTTAAGAACAGCCAGATGAAAGAGATGGAAAGGGCAAGTATGTGGGAAGGGGTGTGGAGTTCCCATGCCCTCTCTGGGTGCACCACTCTCCCAGCACCTCCATGTGTTCACCAACCCAGAGGTTCACTGAATCCCAACTTTTAGGGTTTTTATGGAGGCTTTATTACTTAGGCATGATGGATGAAATCATTAGCCATTGATGATTAATTCAAACTCTCTTGCCAAGCAGCCCCATCCTTGGGGGCTTTCCAAATGTCACCTAGCTCATTAATGTAAACTCTGCTGTGGTTCAAAGGGCTTGTTATGAATAAGAAGAGCCATCCATTCCACTTCTATCGCTCTGGATTCATTTCAGGAGTTGGGAACAAAGCTAAGCAATATAGCAAAAATGTCCCTATGACTCTTGCATAGGAAATTACAAGAGTTTTAGGAGATATGTGCCAGGAACAGTGGACAAAGACCAAATATATATTTCATGTTATAAATCACAATATCACCACACTGTTGTCAAAAATCAGTTGCCCATATATGTAGTTCTAGGCACTCAGTTCTGTTGCACTGATCTATATGTTTATCCTCATGCCAGTACCACACAGTGCAGATGACTGTAGCTTTGTAGGAAGCTTAGAATTTGGGAAGTATGAATCTTCCATCTTTGTTCTTTGTCAAGATTGTTTTGACTATTCTGGGTCCCTTGCATTTTTTTTTTTAAATATTTATTCATTGGAGACAGAGATACAGAGAGAGAGAGAGAGAGTAGTCACAGGGAGAGAGACAGAGGGAGAGGGAGAAGCAGGCTCCCCGCTGAGCCAGGAGCTTGATGCAAGACTTGATCCCAAGACACTGGGATCATGACCTGAGCTGAAGGTAGATGCTTAACCATCTGAGCCACCCAGGTACCCCTGGGTCCCTTGCATTTCTCTTTGAGTTTGAGGACTGACTTTTCCATTTCTGCAGAAAAGCAGTTGAATTTTGATAGATACTGCATTGAATAGAATCTGTAGAGCAATTCAGAATATTGCCATCTTAATAATCTTAAATCATCTAGAATGTGTTTCCCTTTATATAATTGCTTGCAGCATTGTTTCATATCTTTGAATGTATAAGTGTTATGCTTTTTGTGTGAAATATATTCTTAAGTATTTTATTTTTTTGATGTTATTGTAAATGGTACTATTTTCTAATTTCCTTTTAGACTGTTGATTTCTAGTATTTAGAAATACAGTTGATTTTTGCATATTGATCTGGTATCCTGCAACCTTGTAGAACATGTTTAACAAATAGGTTTTGGGGTGGGTTTCCAAGGATTTCTATATACAAGTTTGTCATTTGTAAATAGAGATAGCTTTAGTTATTCCTTTCCAATCCAGATGCCTTTTATTTCTTTTTCTTGCCTAATCCCCTGCCTAGAGCCTCCGGTTAAATGTTGAATAGAAGTAATGAGAACAGGCAGGCATCCCTTCTGATCTTAGAAGGAAAGTTTTCAGTCTTGTACCATCAAATATGTTAACTGTGGGTTTTTCGTAGATGTTCTTTATCAGGTTGAGGACATTCCTTCTACCAAGTTTTTTGAGTGTTTCATCATGACAGGGTGTTGGATTTTGTCAAATGCTTTTTCTGCATCTATTGAGGTGATCATACGGTTTTTGTCCTGTTGATATGGTGTCTTAGTCCTGCTAAGAGGACTAAATTTAAAAGGTTTTATGATGTCTTTGGGCTGCTCTAAAAAAAATACTACAGACTGGATGGCTTATAAACAAAAAAATTTATTTCTCACAGTTCTGGAGTGTGGAAGTCCAAGACCAGAGTGCCAGCATGGTAGGATTCTGGTGAAGACCCTATTCCGGGTTGTAGATGCTGACTTCTCACTGTGCCCTCGCATGGTGGAAGGAGGTGAGGGATCTTTTTGGAGCCTCTTTTATAAGGGCACTAATCCCATTCATGAGGGCTCCACCTAAGTAACCTCTCAAAGGCCTCACCTCCCACCTAATATCACACTGGGCTTTAGGTTTCAACATACAAATTTTGAGGGTCTACAAACATTCAGACGATAGCATGTGATGTATAACATTGATTTTCATTTGTTTAGCTACCCTTGAATTCCTGAGATAACCCCAGTTGGTCATGGTTTATAATCCTTTTACATGTTGCTAGATTCAGTTTGCTATCACTTTGCTAAGGAATTTTTTTTTCATCTATATTAATAAGAAATATTAGTCTATGGTTTTCTTTTCTTATGGTGTCTTTGTCTGCTTTTGTATCAGGATAGTAATGGCCTCAGAATGAGTTAAGAAGTGTTCTGTTTTCTATTTTTTGGAAAAGTTTATGAAGGATTGATGTCATTTCTTTAAACATTTGGTAGGTTCACCAGTGAAGCCACCTGTCCTGGATTTACGTTGTAGGAAGTTTTTGATGAGTAATTCAATCTCTGTAGTTGGTATGGGTCTGCTCAGATACTGTTTCTTCTTAAGTCAGGAGGTAGTGTGTGTGTTTCTAAGAATTGTCCATTTTATCTAGGTTATCTAGTTTGATGGCATTGTATATTCCTTTCTAACATTAAAATATTTCATAGACTACTTTTAAAACTTTCTGCTATTTGAGATCTTTTTCCAGTTAGTCCAGATAAAAATGGTTTTAAAATTATATAGTTGTATTATATGAAAGCAGCACTTGGGAAACTAGCTTTTAAGAATCACCAACATTATTTTCATTAATATTTTACGTTTTCTTTTAGGATGGTATATTCATCAAACAGAAGCCTAAAAAACTATGAAGAGGAAATTCTTAGGAAAAAGATAGTAGAGAGGGGTGTACCACAAAAGAGACATGACTTCAGCTTTGGAAAGTGCACTGACAATGATGGAAGATCATCTGTAGAGTTCTTAGATAAAAAGTCATCTCCTTGTTCTCTTCTGAAGCATGAAGGTCCAGAGGATATCAGTGATGGAGAGGACAATTTAATTTCCACTGGTGAGGCATTTTTTTGGTGGATTTTTATAAATTTTAATGCCATGAAAGAAACTATATTCTGATACAGTTGGAGAAAAACGTACTTCAAAAATCAACTCTACTGATTTCTTTTTTATAGGTAAATGAAATAAAAGTAATTGAAAGTAAATGTAATAAAAGTAAGTGAAAACAAATTTTTTATGGGTAAGTGAAAGTAATACTATAGTCAACTCCTAGTTTTCCCAAGCAATTAGAGATGGGGTTATTATGAATAAATTCACAATTCTCCTCTTAAGCCTCCACATGTCATCATCCTTATTCTGATCCACACCAACAGAAGCTTTAGCAGACTATAGATTCAGTTCTGTTATAACACAATATATGTATTACTTAAAAACAACATGCAGCATAAAAATCATTATATTTTGTCATGACACAAAAAAATTACAATTTTGTTGTGACACGTTTTAAAAAGATAGAAACCTAATGAAAATGGTATGGTTTTACATATGTTGAATTGTTAAGAAATACCTAAATACTATAATAAATATGGTAATTGACCTTGAAAAAGAACTTAAATTTGTGGAGGTGGGTGTCAGAAGGGTTGCAGCTTGTGAACTATTGTGAATTGGCAGAAGGAGGATGTTCAGGACATAGGAATAAGTATAGATAGATATAAGTATAGATGATATAGAGATACAGTAATGGTAGATATTCTAACAGGAAACTTGAGATCTCTGGTCTATTTATTATTTACAGAGCATCTTAGTTCAAGTTCCCAACCTCCAGTCCCCACAAGGTTCAGTGGTGAGGGCCTGATGTTACCCTGCATGTAAAGTGGAATTGCACCATAAGAGAGGAACACCAAAATTAGGAGACTTTCATAGGCTGCTGGCAGATCTGATAGAGATAGAGAGAGGGAAATAGAGTAGGAGGGAGGGGTCTTTACTTTGGAAGGTAAATAAATCTCCCCTGGTAAAGAGAGAGGAAGGTAGCTTCACCACCCTGGAGTATAGGGAAATGGTTTTGAGGGGAAGAAAATCTGTAAATATTTCTGGAACCTCACAGTATCTCTACCCTCCAAGGCATGTTTGTTCTTTAATCCTTCTTTGTCCAGATTTTCCAGCGCTCTGCCCAGAAAGTATGGTCTGCCTCAGACCATACAGAAACACGAAATATTCATAGAAAATGGTCTCCTAACAGTTGGTTATCTGAAATCAGATGGAAATTTGTAACACCAGCTATGGAAGATGTAGGTCATAACATATGTAGTGAACTGAGGTATCTGGTAGATGTTTAAGGTGTTTGTGTATGTTTTATATATTCTTACATGGTTCCGTTCAGGTGGGTGCAGTTTTTTTTTGCAGTGACCTAGTATTTCTTGTGAATGAGCTGCAAGGAAGTGAAATGCACGTAAGCAAATGAAAATTTCACATCATGTTCAAATGGTTCCCTAATATATCAGTTGTGTTAGATCAAACTGATATTTTCAACACAAGCATTGTAGCAGAATTGAATGTATATGAAAGTATCTGTTAACTGAAAGATTTTATTATTGATATTTAGTACAACAACAATAATAACCAAACTGACTTAAGCCCACTTAGAATCCTTGTATGTATGTTAACAACATCTAACTATGGTGAATGAATGAATGGATGTCTCTTCTAAGCTTTGAGGTAGATCCATTCGTATAGTTTATCTCATTTGGTCTCAGATAACTCTAAGAAGTAAGTGGCTGTAGGCTAATTTTTACAGATGAGAACTCTAAGTATAAGGGACTTTCTCAAGGCCACACAGATATAGCAGCTGGCCGAGCTGATATTTAGTACCCATTTTTCCTGTCTCTCATCTAGAGTTCTGCCACAGTCCCACAGCAGCCCATTAAAGTGGCCAAACACATTGCGGATGTAAGTGAAAAGAGCTCATTTACCCCTCAACCCCCTGTCTTTTAACTACTTCCTCATTCCCCCATGGAAAAACCCCCATGTTTACCAGTTTAGCAGATGCTTGTTGTCCGAATCTTACTAACTTCTTTGCAAGCTTTCCTACTGTCAATGTCACCTTCCTTGAAACTTCCTGTGTTCTATGACCCTGTGCTCCCCAATGATACATAACCCCCTAGAGGGCAAACACATATGGAATGATTCTGTACTCCAGGCACAAGGGATACAAAGTGAATGGTGTTTACATCCATCAGGTCCTACACACAACAGGAAGTTAGCGCCTTATTTAAGTAATCTCTACACCCAACATTGGGCTTGGACACAACCCTAAAATCAAGAGTCTCATGCTTCTCCAACTGAGCCAGCCAGGTGCCCCTCTCTTAAATATTTTAAATACTTCTCTTCTTTATCCTCCTACCATTTCTTAATTTCAGGTCTTTACAATTTTTCTTGAGCATCTGCACCCCAGCTAGTTGCCAGGCCTCTCATTGTGCCACCCTCCATTTATACTGTGTAGAACAATATTTGTTAACTGCAGGTCTGATCACAGCACTCCCCTTATTAAAATTCTTCAATTGTTTCCCATAGCCTTAATATAAATCCCAGGTTCTTTCCAGTGACATAAGGAAATTTGTGAACTGGCTCTTGCCTAGAACTCTGCTGCTTCTTCTCTTCACAATGCCCTCCCACCCTTTGAGCTCGAGTCTTACTGAATTATTTGGCGTTTCCCCCAAAGAACTGTATTCTTGCACTTGCTATTTCTTCCTGGAATGCCATTCTAATTATCACATATTTTTTAAAGATTTTATTTTTAAGTAATCTCTACACTCAGCGTGGGGCTTGAACTCACAACCCCAAGATCAAGAATCACATGCTCTGCTGACTGAGCCAGCCAGGTGTCCCCTAATTATCACATCTTTAAACGGAATATTGATTTTGCATTAGGTTTTGAATGTTTAAGAGTGAACAAAACAGTTCCTGTCATGCAGTCTAGGAGGAGATATAGTCAGATGGATTATGCACAGAGTGTGATGAGGACACAGATAAGACACATTTTACCTGGACTTAGCATCCAGAGAAAGCTACATGAAGGGGGTGATGTCTGAGTTGAATCTCAGGGAAAAAAGCAGGAGTTAACCAGGCAAAAAGAATTTAGGGGAGAACTATTCCAGGCAAAGGAAACAACATGCTTAGAGGCAGAGAGAGCTCAGGCACATAGCAAATTTTAAAGACTGGAAATAGTTTATTGTGGAACTAGGGTGGAGTAGGGGACAAGAATGTTTACACTGAGAGATGGGCCTGGAGATATAAGCAGAAGCCAGATTATTGAAAGCCTCATATAAAGGATGACCTTATTTCTTATTGTCCAAATTGGGGTACTTTAGAAAGAGTGAAAAGTGCAGAATTATTATTGTGGTCAATAATTATTCTGGGGCAACAGGCATTAACTGGGACTGTCCCAGGCAAACCAAGACATGTGGTCATCTTCCTTATAAGCCATTTTGGAGACTTTGGGTGGTACTATTTGGCAGGCTTCTGGAGTGTAAGCAGAACAAGATTAGGGTAAAGTGGAATGATGACTTCAGCTTGAGGAACATTGAGTTTGGGATTTCTCTGACTGTGGGTTTTTTTCTTCGACCACTTCTGACACCAAAATGTGTGTGTGTGTGTGTGTTTTTTTCCCCCACACCAACTAATTCTCCAATACCAATTGGGTATCCAGCAATTCAATTCTGACACTAAGGTTTATCCTGTTATGCAGGGTAATAGTCATTGTGCACAGTCTTCCCCCTGTCAGCCTGCCTTGGACAGCTGTGGCCCTCTAGGCTCGGAGAGCTCAGGCTAGTCCCCAGCCATCTGCATCGTGAGGAGCTGGATGTTGTGGGGCCTGGTAAACCATTGTAAGACTGGCTTTTACTATTTAAAGAAATGGAGAGAGCCATATGGTTTTGAACTGAGATGGCTCATGATTTGAATTGCATTTTTAAAACATGCCTCTGCTGGGCTCGAGAGTTGTAGATAGTTGGGAAGTTATTGCAGAGATCTAGGTGCAAGATGATAGTGGCTTGGACTGGGGTGGTAGCCATGGAGATGCTGGGTCGTGGTTGGATTCTGGATCTCTCTTGATATTAGAGCCAATGATGACATGGTGGTTTATAAATACAGAAATTTATAAATTTGTAAATTTGGTTGGTGGGAATCTGTCCCCAGTGACGGATTCTCACCAGATGTATTGACTAAAGTTTCTGGACTGACAAAGCTATGATATACAGTGTAGTAATTTTTAAAATATAAACATGTTTTATATTTCAGTTCTCACTTTCTGAATGGTGAATCTTTTGAAGTAGAGATACTTTTAAAAATATTTATTTTCTTTATTTTTCTATACTGTATGTAGTACTAAACTCATAGTAGGTGCTCCATAAATCCCATTGATTTTAGTTGAATATATATTGGCTCAAATGTCATTTTCATTTTCACCAAAAACTCAGGAACAGGAATAGGAAGGTAATGAAAAAGGGTATCAAAATTGGAAAATTTTCTAACTTCCTATGTCAGATATTCATTCAGTGGCTTCAATTTTGGTGTATAATTTTGTGATAATATTACCTATATTTAACTATAAATCTGTATTGTGAAAGGTATATTTATATTTAAGTTGAAACTTATTTTCCAAAGCAAGATAGAGATGATTTTAATATTGTTTTATTTTAAATTTACTAGTTAAATATTGTAGTTACTATTGCTCTCTTTTAGTAGCTAATCAAGATAACTATGTGGAAAAACCTTTAGTAATATTAAAACACAAAATTTTTGGATATTTATAATAAAGAAACTATTTTTTAGTTTTGTTTTTCTCTTTTAAAGATAATTATGACTTGGATCCTGCATCTGAATTAGGAGAAGATTTATTGAAACTTTACGTGAAACATTATTGCCCAGATATTGATATTTATGTTGATGGAAAAAGTTTTAAAGCTCACAGGTAAATAGGCACTTGACTGATTTGGTGTCTTGGTTGTGAAAGTAAAGTTTAAAAGGGTGGCTGTCTCTTCCTAGCATGGTGGTTTTCAAGCTCTGATTCACAAAAGTCACAGGGGTTTCATGGTGATGCCTCAGGGGACCTGTGACAGGGGAAGGGGTTGGACATCAGGCAGGGTTTTCTGCCTGCAGGTTCAGCCAGGCTCACATGCCCCCTTCCAGACATGTGCACATGTTTCAACCAGAGCAAATCTCTGCTTTGTATTGGGCTTGAACCTAAGATTTCATTAGAAGAAAATATTCTGTTGCTAAAATAGGTTTGAAAGCCACTGTCACAGAAAATATAATTAAATGCAGTTTTTAATTTCACAGGCATTATAGTATTGGAAATGATTATTTCTACATGAATGACATGTATTTTCTCTGGATGCATTTTGGCTCAAAGTCTTTGATTCAGAATAGATATTCTTATGAATAGCATTGATTAGAAGCCTTAATATTTCAATGTACTTTTAAAAAACCATTATTATGCTTTAGAATTGGGTTGCTTAGACATTCTAGGCTTTTAGATTTCAAATTAAAGCCTGCTCTTTTTTGCAAGTAACTAAAATCTGCTTCAAAGAAGAAAAAATTTTAATAAATACAGATTTTCTTTTGGAACTCAAGGGAAAGAAATACAGCTGGGCCTCACAATGGACAAGAAATGGAACCAGAAGACTGAGGAACCCAGTGTTTTTCCTCCCTCTCTTTGTGTTTCAAATCGAATGTTGAGAAGTTATTCTCGTGCTCCTGAAGAGGAAAAACCAGGTTATTTGCAATGGCAAGAACCAGTCTTATAGGTTCAAGGGTACACAATCTTAGTGAAATTAGTGATGGGTTTAGATTACAGGAATCTACCATGCCAACACTAGTGATGTTTGTGCTCTCAAAAATCATATTTGGCTTTGCCAGTTAATTGACAGCAGTACTTTGCTAAACTCTAGGATTACTAGTTTCAATCAGACTACTTACCATTCAGAATTTGAGTTTTTCTCTTGGGAACATGTATTTTGTAATTATAAGTACATATGCACATTTATCTAATTTTTATGAACTATGTATTACATATAGTAAAATACAGGGTATAATACAGATTTATTAATATATATTCCCATATCACGGATATATATTTCCCAAATCGTGTGTATGTGTGTTGCTTTGCTTCTTTGATTCTTTTTTGGGGGGCAATGCCATTTTATTTTATAAATTAATTTTATTTTGTGTTCCGGTTTTTCTTGAAACCACAGGGGCATCATACCAAAGTTTTACTTATAGAGCCCTAAGGTTATTGTCATACAGGGAAAGCAAGACCTTGTGATCATTTGCAATATATCCTCAAACAGTGTCTATATTTGGCCTCTCTGTGTGCTGCCTGACAGTGGACTATGTTTTAGGAGCTGGATCTAGAATATTAGGTTTGTATTCCAGGAGAGTTCTTGCTCACATGTCTGGTTTATTTTGTTCACCTAGCAATAAAAAATAAGTATATATTAACTAGAAAGGTAAATTCCTCAGCATATATTCTAAGAAGACCTGTCTTAAGTTTTTCTACTTTGTTAGTACACTTATATGAGTTACAATGGCAAAATCTAAATCTCAAGATTATCTTCCTAGTCCAAACTTGAATAACTCTCTGTTTAGTACATAATAATTTTACTATTCAATTTAAGGAATATCTTGCCAGTAGTTCAGAAGACATACATTCACGTCATGTAGTTTAGAGCCCAGCATCAGAACTTTCTGAATTACTTCTTGTTCTAAATGATCAATGTCAGCATTTATCCTAGTGATGTGGCTAAAAATCCATTTGTGATATGGCTGTTTTAATTTTTAAATTATATGGACTCATCTATTAAAAGATCAATGCAAGTACTCATAAATACCAGAATTTATGATCAGAATTACATTCACATTAGGGCTCTATTTTATAAGCGCTTAGTTTGCTAGCTTAATATGTCCAAATTGCTGTGGTAATGAGGTAGTTTCTTCTTGTCTTGAGTCCCATCTTTCTGTCATGCTCTCTCTTCATAAACATCCCTGATACCTGGTTCTTCCAAGATTATGTCTCCGGTTGCTAGTTGCTCTATCCAGTCTTTATCTTGATTTCCAGCTTAATGCCTGGAGTCCTTGATATGCTGCAATACAGTCTTGATGTCAGTCACTTGCTTGGGGTGGCACAATTAGACCAAAGAAGTTATTTTATAACAGAGTGGTTAAGAGTGTGTGAACTGTGTGTGGAGCCTTTCTGCCTGGGTTTGAATTCTAGCCCTACCATCTTTTAGCTCTGTGAATTTGGGCAATTTAACCATTCTGTGCTTTAACATCCTTATTAAACATGGGTATTCTCAAAGTACTCATCTCACAGGGTGATTATGAGGATTAAATTACTTTAAAGGACTATATAGGTGTTTGCTATAATCATCCAGGCAATAGGCCTTTGATAACAAGCTTTTGTGTAGATGGTAGTAACAACCTGTAATCACTTATGTGGGGCAAGCAGAGAAATGTGGTTTGAATCACTTGCGTTTCCCCCCAATCCAAGGATGAGACAGCGGTATGCCTCCAGGTAAAGTCACATTTACTTTACTCTTCTCCATCTACATAGGCCTTTTCCCCTCTGAAGCATATTCTTCACTCTTCCCACATCTTTGTCCTTGTCTATCTCCAATACTTCTACTCAAAGGAGAAGTGAAGAGAGCTCTTTTTGTTTGAGGGGAGGGGGGTTATAATAAAAGGAGGACCCCTTAGAGTTCATTGATCCTGTTGTTAGTTATGTTACTCCTTTTCTGAGTATTGCTTCCTGGAACACTACTGTACATTACCCTCTTTTGTAGACCTCTGTAACATTACTTTCCTGCCTGAATTGCTCTCAATCACCAGATGAATACCATCTGGATATTGTACGTTTCAGTTTTCCTTTATTTCCTCTTGTCATCTTCAGCCTACCCCTAAGTTTGTACCTGGTGCAGTCTATTGCGGATCTCACATTTTATGGCATTATTATTGTAGTGTTTCCTGAGAGAAATTGTGAATCTGTTAAATTTTTAAGATAGTCTGTTTGTTGTACTTCTGTGTTCCATAATTAAGATTTTTGGGGGGCAGCTTTATTGAAAAAGCATGGCAGTGATTCCTGATTTTAGCTTTGACAATCTGATAGCCTTTCCAAAATACCTTTCTTTTTTTTTCTTTCCAAAATACCTTTCATTTCAGTGCCTGATATTATACCATTAGGCTTTCATTTATTAAGTTAAAGTGTTCAACTCCCCTTTAAAATGTAGTTTTTTTCTGAATATTTAGCAAATTGACACTCAGGACGTCAATGTTCTAGTTTGTGCCATAGTATTAATCAGTTATATGTTCAGCTGAAAGCTTTTTCAGAAGTGTATAGTTTAGTAATTCAGAAGTCAGTCTTTCTGGGTTTAGATTCTGACTCCACTGTTTATGGAATCGTTGAGAAGTTGCTTAATGTCTTCAAGTCTCAATTTCTTTATCTATGAAAAGAATAATAGTAATTATAGCATAGGATGGCTGTGAGGATTGAATCAGGTAATGCACACAAAACACAATAGCTGGCATGCTATAAGCTTTCAATAAATGTTAGTTGCTATAAATATGTATTAGGTATCTGGAAGAGAGACACATTGTTACCTGTTGTACCTGATTTTATAGTGGAGTTTCGCAAACTATGGCTCAAATCTGGTCACTGCCCTCTTTTTATATAAAACAACAAAAAGACAAGCATATGCAACAGTAACCTGTAAAGCCTGATATTTATATCTGATATTTATTATCTGTCCCTTTATAGAAAAAGTTTGCTCTCTTACTCGGGATTTGCCAGGAAGCCTTAATGAAATAATGATAATAAAATTCCAAATTACCATGCAATAAAGTGAGTCACTACCATCTTAGTATTAATTACTTTGTTAGTGATGAATGGTCAACCCTGTTCACATGTGAGGTTTGATGTAATAATAGAGGGGAAAGAGATAAAATTCCTTGGTGCCACAGGTCTTTGAGAGATGTCGCAGTGGGGAACCAAAGCTGAAGGCTCTGGGTGCCTGAAAGGAAACAAACCACCTGCAGTAGAAGCTCCTTAACTGAACTTGACTAAAACTGCTCTTCAGATATTCTCTATAGAACATGCTGACAGCACAGTAGGCAGAACTGTCAAAGCTTAGGAGGCCCTTCTCTAGTGTACTTAACACTTTTCCAGTACTGTCATTGAGTTTGTGTCTTCCAAAGGTCACTTGGGTTGTTCCCAAACCTATTTAATGCCATTTAACTTATTTTCACAGCATAACTCAATGAAATATCAAATAAACCAATGATACAAGAAGCATGAAAGAGATATTGTGGGGTGCCTGGGTAACACAGTTAAGTGTCTGACTCTTTGTTTTGGCTCGGGTCATGATCAAGCCAAGTCAGGCTTCACACGCAGCAGGGAGTCTGCTTGAGATTCTCTTTCCTTCTCCTGCTCATGCTCTCTCTCTCTAAAATAGGTAAATCTTTAAAAAAATTACTTAAAAAAAAGTTATTCCAGTGGAAACTAAAGTGATGGGAAGATCTAATAAAAAAGGCACACTTTAAAAAATTGCTATTGAATTTAGTATAGATGAACAATATAAAAGTTTGAGGGGAAATTATAAAAATCTAAAATGATTCTATACTTCATTTGCTTCGCAAAAGTTTTAGATTTCATTCTTCATTTTAGAGAAACTTGAATTAGAAATTATAGGTGTGTATATGTATGTATAGCTTTTGTGAGAAATAAGAGGCTCTAGTCAGTGAACTCACATTAAAAAAGGGATTGGCCTTACGGTGAAAGATTGTGAATGAATGCATATGTGTTTTTTTTTTTTTTAATAATTGGCAGGTGTTTTATTGGATATGGTTTTTAGAAGTGGGAGAAACGTTCTAACTGGTCTTCAGGTACGTTTGTCAATGATTGGTTGGCTGCAAGCGAGC